TGTGCATTTGTGATCCGTGGAAATGATCGATCAATCACGTTACTGCCAAAGGCGATTTGATTAGCCCTGAATCTGCTCGATCCAGCTCATTCAAAGATATGACACCATTAGTTGTTGTTGTTGTTGTTGAAAAATTGGACACGCTGTTCACAGCAGGCGGCTGGCAACAAGCGCCAACGCTCCGTCGATTTACAGGGTGTGGTGAACAGGACGTATTAAGCTCTGCATGACCCGTTGTCGTGTTTTTATAGTCTGTATCCGAGGTGATGAAGTAGTCTTCGAAGAAGTCACACAAGTACGCGAATGTCGGTCGTTTCTCGGGAATCGCGTCCCACATACGCAATAGCATAGTGTAAATTGGCTGGGGACATCCATTAGGACGAGGCATCCGATATCCAGATCGCACTTGGTCCAACGTCTCCGTGTTGTTCATGGAGGGATAGGGAACTTGCCCATGAGTGATGAGCTCATAGACCACTATACCGAAAGACCAGACATCCGACTTGATTGTGAATCGGCCCATTAGGGCCGCTTCGGGTGCGGTCCATTTGATGGGGAATTTGGTGGTTTTGTGAGCCATATAGGTAGAACAGTGATCTTCCACAACACGAGCGAGGCCAAAGTCAGCAACTTTGACACAATTATTCTCGCCCACAAGAATATTCCGAGCGGCCAAATCACGGTGTATGTATCGTTCCTTTTCCAAGTAGGCCATTCCACTGGCAATCTGGACAAGGAAAGTAAAGGTTAACCGGTTAGTTCGGAGGAGGGGAGTGTTTATGAGTTGATGCACAGTCAGACTAAACAACTGATACGGAATGCACACCTTATTTCATTGAAGGTGATATCGATTAAATCAATACATGGGATTTCAGGCTGGTCATCGGTGGCCGAAGGCACGCGTGTTTCCCAAATCAACAAGATACAGCCGTCCATAGTTGCCTATTCGCTTTCTCTAGTAGTCTTGCTCCATAAGAAGGCTATCCAAATACACAATGAATGGTCATCACACGCAAGAAGACCTACAAACCAGCTGTGAACGATGGGTGAGAAAACAAATTTTACACAATGTCCAGCTGAATTATGGCGTCCGGATAAAGTGAATCGCCTAAAGTGGCAACTCCTCCAGTCACGTGTCCCTAAAAAGTGATCGATTTCGTCTACTCGGCACGTCATCAGCTGTTGAGAGGGGCTGATGTGCTTACTGAGGAACTGCAGCCGTTCTCAACGAAAGTATTAGTCCAACTCTAAACAAAACTGCTAGATACAAGGGTTATGGGAGAAGAACAACCACAGTACAAATGCAGACGGTCTCGGATTTGGTATGATGTGAGATACTGGGCTGATTAGCTGTGATACCTTTCGGTTCATGACTGTCATGCAATTCGAACGAGGACTGCGCAGACATAGGAAGAAAACAATCGAAGACCAGGGGTGGGTCCAAAGCGCTGACTGGCTCAAACTCGGAATATCAGAAGCATTGGTACACACTCACATATAACACCAGACCCATTGAGAACGTTTGAAAAAAAACACGAACCTGTGCCATCATATCGACCAGTGAATTCAATTCCAAGTGTTTGCCCGGCCCATCACGAAGGTAGTGTAACAGACTGCCGTTGGACATCAGTTCGGTGACAATGTAGATTGGATCTTCTGTGCACACGGCATACAATCGAACCAGCTTCGGGTGCCGTGCAGCACGCATGATTCGAGCTTCCTTGAGAAATTCGTCCCTGGTCATTGTGCCTTGCTTCAAGGTTTTCACGGCCACTTCTGTGGTTCCATTCCATTTGCCTGGGCGACGGAATAAAAAGCAAGCGGATAGTACAGTGATCTATCTGGAAGACGACCATAATGTGAGTAGGTAAGTAAGCAGTATAAGCAGTTCCATGCGAAAGGAACGTGGTTATCCACCCGGGGAAGCGCGTTTGAATAGCCCTCCCTGAGTTGTGTGTGCGGGTCGAAATCGTTACTTTACGGGTCATTCAGAAACGCACTTGTTCGAACACGTGGCTTGAGTACGAATGCACGCCGGCTTCGTAGGTCAGTGGGCGAGAAGCTACAACCACGGCCTCACTGCCATTATCGCGAAATTGTGAAAAAGAGGCACCGAGTATCTTTCTGGACTACTAGGATAGAACGATTGGTTTGCGGTCAAGCGATCAATTCATTAGTTTGATAGGCGGCTTGATGTTGGTCAATCTAATTGTTTCCAATGGTTAATTAAAGGGGTAAGGTCCAGTTTCTACTACCCATTGTTTACCAAGCCGTTCTGAAACGAAGACTTCCAGACCTTTTCTAATTGATTGAAGGTCCGATTTCCTTACCCACAAATTGGGTCACGAATGAATCGGTCGGTTCATACATGATCGTTTGGCCGTGGAACACGTGGCTTAAACTCGACCAACGAACAATGAGTTGGTCTTAGGTTGCCGTAGGTGAGTGAGATGACATCGCAGCATAGTCCCCTGAGATCATCAGATAAAAAACATGTAAGCATGGATAAAAAGAAGCTATTTTTGGACGTGTAGCGATCGTTTTGGCTAAGTAAATCAATCAGAATAGGCCGATTCATAGAAGAAAGCTTGAATCGGTCCCATTTTATGGGAAAATGAAGTCCGTTTCTCAGACACAGGGTGTGGGTATAGGGGTTTTTCTCACCCATTCGGGTTCAAAACACACACACGCAAACACAAACTGTGGTTGTAAAAATACCGATTACCACCCGGGGCAACAAACTTGTGAATGAGTTTTGTAGCAATTTTTTTTAAATTTCAACCCAGTTTTCAAAAAAAACTGCAGTTCGAAATAGCCCTTCGACAAATTTTCGAGAATCTCCAGGATTTGATGGGTAAGATGGAGATGTTAGATGGTTGAATTTTCCAAGAGTGGGGGAAATGGTCGGTACACCATACCCAATATATATCGATCCGTCTCTCAATCCGGGTCGAATTTCCCCTTGGAGACTGACAGTTAAGTACGTGTTAGTTTTCTCAACTTTCCCCCTTTGAGGTTCTGTGTTCACCTCCTAATCCAAGTCAAATTGTTATGACAGTAGTGGATGAGCTGAACTCATTGACAGGTCGTCTGATGACTGGACGCGACGAAAAAATCGTTGAGCTGTAGCACCCTTCCGCTGCCTAGCTGCCATGCCACCCAAAGGAAGCACGAGGGCTAGGATACTGCCAGGTTGCTCAAGCCCAGACAGGGGAAGTCGAGATGCAGAGGTCGGGTTCGAACCACGGACCTTCTGTCGGTAAATTCGCGCTCTAACCATTCGGACCATTTCGCCTCCCCGATGCGACGAAAGCAATCAGAGAAATTAGCGTCTGAGCAAAAAAATATTCACAACAGGAGTCCTCTCAGTTTTTGCTGCTCCATTATATAAACCATCACTTGTATACAGGAACGATCAGTTCTAAAGTGGAAGGATGGACAAAGTACGTGAATTTTTAACGACTAGGTGGGAAGTTGAGGAAGAGCTATCGAAATCCTTGTCACCTCCTGGATAGTCGGGTTTCTAGGCGATTTCAGAATTCATGTGAAGGCTCACCACTGACGCTGATTATCGACATGAGGTGTCAATCTACTGGGAAGAGGTGTGGGGAGCAGTTTCGAATTCAGCGTGCTCGGTAGCTTGACTGAGTGAGTGATTTTAAAATATCGGGATCTCAAATTCAAGGACTTTGGTCGCAAAACCAAAAGAAGTTTGTGCTCAAGCGAACAACTCAACTGACAAGTGACCAACAGCTAGCCTATTAAGGAAGAGACAAGCACGCAACAGACCAAACTAGGCAGGTTTTTGCGCACAAAGGGGTGACAACGATCAATTTTTTATATTGCGTCGTACCGCGAGAGAATCAACAGCCGACAGGATCTGTTTCATTGGTTTTGAGGCGGCATTGAACTCATAATCGCCGAAAATAAAATGGAACCGGACGACAGCCTAACAAAGTTGGACACGTACAAACGTTAATCAGTGGCGAAGAGCAGTCGAACTTTGACTTATTGGTCGAAATTTGACGATGTGTGTGTGCCACACTATTCAGTTTCGCGCTTGTCTGAACAATTTACGAAGCTATTAAGGAATACCACAAAGTGAATATAGGATGGAAAGTGTCCATCAAGGACACGGACAATACAGTTGTCATCGCTGTTAATCTCCACACTACAGTCTGCAAGTATAGCAAGTAAACAACACACTGATGTGTGCTATGTGCTTGTCGAAGAATTAAAAGCCATTATGAGAACGAAGTAACATAAGCCTAGACTACTCTGTTCTGTGTTCACATGATCTGGTGACGCTACTGTGCCCAAAACGAAACGTTACCTGAAAAAGAATAATCCCCAAACGATTCAGTACACGAATTCCTCATTACAATCTCAAGTTTTCTTTGACGTTTCATTCTCAGGCAGGACAGAATCCATATTTTCTTCAAACATGCACTAATGGACGTTTTCCCCCTGAAATCTGACCCGTACGTTGTATTTTAAAGACCTGACAAATATACCAAGATTTTTTGTATACTCATTGATTCCCCGCCGGGACTATCCTATGACCGATTGCAAACCATGTGATCTTAGCTGAAACGTTGAACAGCTCTTAGTATAATGTGCCCACCGTTATTTCCGTGATCAGTTCTGTCTTTGACTTGTCCTGGATCCGAATCAGTGTTATCATTGAGTTGGGCGTCAGACCAACGAGCCACGAAGCAGGACTCACCGTGGAGGCAAACCAGCAAAACTCAAGTTTCAAGGCCATTCGGATACCAACTAATCAGCAGACAGGTCAACCAACAAGCCAATAGAAACACTCACTCTAACAACCAATCATAAGTCAAGGTCGGCTTGGATGAGTAGACACCATAGCCACAAATGCACGCGCAACAATCACCCGGTTCAGCTCACAATGCCCAGTCCAGCGAACAAACTAACGGGTGTCATTCATCATGTACGGGGGTAGTTACAAGTGCTATTCAAGGCCAAAACAAGTCAGGGGCAGAACTGACCGTTTAAATAACATTGCACGCAATACACGAAGAGCCGGTCGAGATCGCACGATTTACGACGCGAACTGCTGGAAGGGATTCCTCACTATACGAAAAATCTTGGTACATGTCCCGGACTTTTAGAATACAGGGCAACGTACGTGCAGGGGTCAGGTTTCAGGGGGGGAGGGAATCTACTAACGCCTGTCTTTAAACAATTTTTGCAGATTCTGCTCCGCACGAGGGTTAAAAATACAGAAAACGTGAGGTTGTCGTGTGAAGTTTGCGTACAATTTGGCAATAACTGTTGTCTACTTCATCACAGAGGAAACTGCTTACAAGGTTGCTGAAAACTCTTCGACAGGTTCATGGAGCAAACTTCTTTGGATCTCCCACTCGAGTTAACAGACACTGACGGCCATCCATCGTCAGTGACAGACGCAAGATATATTTTTTCGGTCCAGCAAAACTATATTGAGGAGATGGCTAGACCACTAGGTGAGGGTAACTCGATGTCCAATCGACACCGAGGAAAAGTTACAACGCAATAACGCTTGCTCTTTGTCAGATATGTCATTATGCATTGAATGGCATCAAGAATGTGGAAAGAGAGGAACGTGTTCCTTCATTCCAAAGGGTTCTGCGGGAGTGCTTCCGCTTATCATTTTATTGTGGGAAGCTGGCAACATTAGCGACCGCAGCTGTGCGTTGTGTATGTGGCTTCAAAGGTGAGAAAGAACCTGCAACATTATGACGGTTCCACACGAGCCCAGAAAGTTACAAGTTCTATAGGTAAGCATAAGCGATAGTGAGATATTTACGTTCCTATCGTGCTGTGTGTCCGACAAACCCGACAGATAGTGGTTTAATGGCAACAGCTATTGCAACATCCACCGTATGAGAAACATTCTTGTGGTCTTGAGATAAGCCGACATTAGCGAAGCTGTGCTTCAAAGGTGACAAAGAACCTGCAACATTATGACGGTTCCACACGAGCCCAGAAAGTTACAAGTTCTATAGGTAAGCATAAGCGATAGTGAGATATTTACGTTCCTATCGTGCTGTGTGTCCGACAAACCCGACAGATAGTGGTTTAATGGCAACAGCTATTGCAACATCCACCGTATGAGAAACATTCTTGTGGTCTTGAGATAAGCCGCGTTTCATGCCTGGTGTATGGGTTGAAAGAATGCACTCCAGAGCGTATGATGCGCACCATAGTATCTGACGGCTGAGCATGAGGGATGAAATAGGCGCCGGTTTGGGTGATAAATTTGGGCACACAAGCGTGCGACAACCGCTGATCCAAACGTGTGAAGCTTTAGTTTGTTTACGCGCAGATGTTGGTCAACACAGTCAACCGGAAGCAATCCATTCAACGGGGTGTGCTGCTTTCCTAGGTTGCGTCCAGCTGACAGATGCGATTGGTCGTTGGCTCAACCAATCGACGCGCTGCTATTAAAAGTTACTAAATTTAGAAAGTGTGGAGCCATAATGTGGCGAGTCAAGTGGTAAACAAAGGAGCGCCATTTATTCAAGCCAAGTATAGAGAATGAATTTTTCGGATAGCCAAATACGGTACCCAGTTTGGTGCCCAATTTTGGATTGAGCAAAGTCAATCTATCGCAGCTAATGTGTCAAAAGGGGCAACCGAAGGAGGAATAGAATAAAAAATGTCTCCTTTAACTTCAGAATCCAAGCTTCATCTAAAAAAACATCCTAAAGCAACTTTTGAGCAAGCTCAGCGACTGAAGTTGAGGATTTCTTCTCGTGCTTCATGCAAGC